GAGCAGGTAAGGGAGGAGACTCAGGTCACTGGAGGACACACCACGGGCCCATCCAAACCTCAGGTAAGGTGTTGCTGTTCTGAGAATGCCACAGCTGGGTCTGGGAGAGGGGCCACAGACACACGGACCAGTGGCCTGCTCAGCATATGCAGCTGCTTGAAGCAAGACTTGTCTCCAACAGCCTCTTTTCCTAGGACACCTCCTCCTGTCATGGACAGCACAGCAAATTCACTGAGCACCAGGGCACGGAAATGGGCACCCAGAGGGTAGAAAACAGGAGCAGTTCATGGGCACGAAGGGCAGGCAGGACCCACTCCAGCCACTCATCCTGGTGCTTTTCCTCTCAGAGGGTCAGCATTTCCAGAACAATCTCTGCCTCAGGCTGGGTGCCGGACTGTCCTTCTGGCCCTCCAATGTCTGTCCCCTGGCTGGGACTCAGTGCCCAAGACTTCCCCTGCCTGCGTGGTGTGGCTGAGGAGCCAGGGGAATGCGCAGCCCCTCTCCCTTCACTCCACCTCCCCAGCCTGGTTAACCCGGAGTTCCCAGGGGACTTCTGTTCAGCCTGCTCTTTCTGCTTGAGGGTGAGGAAGAGAAGTGTGGGGAGCCCAAGCAGAGGCCTGGGATTCCTGGAGAAGTGGTGGGGGATCTCTGTGTGGGGTGACTCCTATGTGACTCTAGGCCTGCTCAGCTGAAGACCCCATTCTCCCAAATCCCCCCACACAGAAAGATGTGCATGGGTGAGGGTTGTAGCCCAGGGCACAGCAGGGCTGCCCAGCAGGCCAAGTCACTGTCTTACCCTGCAGGAGCCACTAACGTGGCTGCAAATGGTGGGCTGTGACCACGGAACCAGACTTGTGTGGCTGCCATGAGTCACCTCTAGGACAGGAGTTCTTGGTTTCCTCCTTTAGAGCACACCCAGGGCACCACTTCACGGGACACCCCACCCCAGCAATGTCAGGCCGCTCCGCCTGTCCTTCCTGATCCCACACTGACCGGTCACGTGGGGAGGACCAAGGACAGGTTCTTGGAGAAATCCCCAGGGTGAGCCATGTCCAGTGACAGCAATGGCAGCCTGGGAACCTTCAGCCGTAGCACCAGGCTCTGCTGCCACCCACACCCTTTCAGCTTTTCTAACCCTGTGATTGGTGGCCCCAGCCTGTCACTGGAGCCATCCTCTTCCGGTTCAGGGGTTCCAGATAAGACGCCCTCTGTCCTTCCTCTGACCAAACATCTCTGAACCCAAATGCCTGCATGGGGCTTCTGCCTAGGAGGTTCCTTCCTGCCCTGGCTCTCCCCTAAACTCCCAGAGCAGGTTCCCATCCACACTGCTCGTCTGTGCCACCCTGCTCCTCTCCCAACAGCCAGTGCCCCAAGCTTCTCCCTCCTCCAAGGGCCCCAGGCCCTGCACTGTGGCTGTGGCCCAAGTAGAACCCCAAGAAAGGTCTCACACAGGCCCTGGGGCTGCTGGTGCACCCGAAATTCCCCCGAGGCCTAGAAGCAGGAAAGGAGAACACAGCGGAACAGACAAGAAAGGCTTGGAGAGTGGCATGGTAAAGGACAACCACCCTCACAGGATGCCCGTAGAGCAGCCTGGTCACTGGAAAGGGGAGCATTCCAGGTGGGTGAGGGAGATGTGGTGGGCAGTGCTGATGTTGCTTTGTGTTTGGGTTTTGGCCAGACAGGCGGGAGGGAGGCTATGTCCCTTTCTCTGCCACCTAGTCACACCTCCAAGGCTTTGTCTTCTTGCTGTACTGGGTGGGTGCAGTATCCAAAATTTGCTAAGGGTTAAGAGTCAGCCAGCAAGCATCCAGCCTGGCCTGGAGCCCAGGGCGGGTCTCTGGGCCACCTCACCCAGGTGGCCTGTCCTCTGGCCCACTGTAGGTGAGGAAGAAGGTGAGGGCACAGCTTGTGGCCCACCGTTGCTCAGGATCTTCCAGCCTAGGCCTTGTGTGTGACAGGCAAGAAGGCAGACTCTGGTGAAACGTCTCTGTCCCTGCTCTGAGGGGAGGCCCTCAGGGGCCCCCTGTGAGAGGGGAGGTGGGGCATACCCACAGGCACAGTCCTGCCACTGGAGAGGGCTGTGGGTAGAGGGGCCAGGCTAGCAACCAGGCACACGAGAGACCTGCACCACAAGAAAAATCTTCAAAGAAAAACTTAGGAACTACGTATTGTGTTCCCCCAGAAGCTTGGCTGCACCTCCTTGGCAACATTCAGTCCTTCTGTATTTTTTGGTACACACATGTGGAAACAGCTCTACACCTATCCTCTCACTGCTGCCCCACAGCCTGAGGTGGGAAAGTCCCAGGTGACCCCAGCCCTCAGCCCACTGTGCAGCTTGTGAGCGCCCAAGTCTAGCTGTGGGTGAGACAGTGCTGGATCCATCAGCACATCTCAAACTTGCTGAAAAAGTCAGCCACCAGTGCAAACCCACCGCCTGCCTGAGTTGGCTTGAGGCCCAGCTCCTGCGGCAGACAGGAGTCCTGTGGCTCCTCCCAGAGCCCCAGCAGGAGCCTGCAGGAAGTATGTGAAGCAGGAACACCCCGCAGGGTTAGGGTCCTCTTATGGTCACCAAATCTTCCGAGCCTGTCTGATCACAGCAAGCCTGCTAACAGCTTTAGTCTTTCTGCCTCTGCGCAGCCAGGGCCAGGATAAGGTTGCAAGGCAAACACAAGCTTCTTAGGGCGCTGCCAAAAGGGTTAGGGGCCCGGGAAACTGTCACCTCTGCAAAAGTCAGCCCTGGAGCTAAAACAGGAGGCTGTGGGTGTGTATCAGGTAAGCAGACTCCGGAGCGGGGCACCATACCACACATACACACAGACACACACACACACACACATACACACACACACACACACACACACACACACACACGACGCTCTCCCACTCCGTGCCTTGGTGTCCTTCTCCTAAAGCAGGAGTGATGATGCTGTCATGGCACCCCCTGAGACACGCAAATAGCACTGGGCCCTGGGCCTGGCTTAGGGACCATGGAAAGCCATCTGTTTACATTTTAAACACCCCTCCTACCTATGGGTAGCAGCAGCAAAACTCCTGGATGTGCTCTCTGCTTGAGTGGTTGAAGGAGAGCTCTGTCCCAGCCCTGAGCAGAGAGGTTGTGAAAGCAACAGGAAGCCTGGCTCCTATCTCCACCCTGAGGTGGGGCGGGCTGAGAAGAAGGGGGGCCACAGTGGGAAGGAAGTGTGTCCCTTGCCAAGGCTGCCTCTTTTGTCCAGCCTAAGGCTGGTACCGCCCACAGGGCCCTCGAGCCCGACCTGCTAGTCCTAAATAATTTAGCTATCTATAACACCACCCTCAGTTGGAACCCCAAAACCTCTGCCAGCGCGGGCAGGAGCATGCCGGGGTCTCTGGGCCATGGTGTTGGCACCCTCATGGGACACCAGCCAACAGAGGCACGGCTGTAGGTGCCCATCCCGTCAAGGCGCGGGTGGGGGCTTTTCCCCGCCCGCCGCCCTGGAGTGGGGTGTGCGCTGCGGCTCGCCAGTGGAGCCTGAGACCCCATTCGTCCCCGAGCCACTGCCGAGAGAGAAGTGCAGATGCCGCAAGTCCAGCCACCTGCCGACCCCGGCCCCGACCCGGGCGCTTCCGGGTCGCCCCGGTGTGGGCTGCCCTACCTGTGCCCGCGCTCGTCCGGAGTCCCGCGGCGAAGGTAAGACGGGGCGGGCGCGCAGGCGCAGCGCGCGGGCGGAGTCACAGGCGGGGCCGGACCTGGGCTTTCTGGTTGCGGACCGCAGGATCCGGCCAGGCCAGGCCCGGGTTCCCGGGAGGGCTCGGCCACATGCGCGGTTCCGAGGGACGGGGAAGCGGCTCCTACACTCGAGATCCGACGGGACGGTTCGGGCTGCGGCGCGCAGGCGTTGCTCTTCCGAGCTCTCTGGGCTCCCCGCGCCGGATCCAGGCATTCCGGTCTTTCGTGTTTTACAGCAGTGATAAAAACATGTTTCTAACCTCCGTGTCGGCGATTGCAGCACTGGCGTGGCTGTCGGGTGGAGGCGTCCCTTCCCTCCTCTCTCATTTCCTCTTGTGCCATCTGGCTCTGCCTTCCTCCCTCAAGCCCCATTGCACGACTTGTGGAATATTAAAAGTAAGACTTTTTCAGTAGCTGTGGGGAAGGGCCTTGCACCCTGGGAATTGTCGCTTTCCAGTTTGCTGCATCAGCTGCCTATAAACACTTTTGGCTTTTGTTTTGAGACAAGGTCTCACTCTTTAGGCCAGGCTGGCCTTACACTCATGCAGCCCAGGCTGGCCTCAAACTCTCAGTGATCCTCAGCCTTCCAAGTGCTGGGATTAGAGGTCTGTGTGTCACCATGCCTGGCTCTAAACACTTTGGTGGAAGGAAAGGGTTATCTGCGGGAGCTGATGGTGTCTGCCTGGTTTCCCACTCTGGGGACCTACTGCTGGCATCCTTTGATGGGGGTACCTGTACTCATTCAGTGGTACCTGTTTGAGGATTATTTGGGGTCAATTGAGGATTATCTGGACTTACTACCGGTCATTTTGGGCGCTGACTAGTGTGAGAAGAGATTTAGAGGTAGAAAAAAATTCTCGGTACTTGTTTTGGGATACTCCTTTAGTTTGTTTGGTTTCTTTTTATCTTTTTCTTCTTATACCCACCTTTATTTCTGAACTGGGGCTTCGGTAGCATCTAGGAGCCCTCTTGGCTGCATATTGAGTAACTGGACAAATAATCACCAGGATACTATGACAAAGAAGAGTAGTAGTGTAATACTGTGTGGCCTATGTGTTATACTCTAGTGAAAGGTCGCCACCTCATGGTTGTTTAAATTATCACACCATTTTGCAATCGCAGGCTTTTTGTGAAAATTAGGTAAATGGGATAAAATTCTTCATATTCAGGCCTTCATGGTATTGGATAGTGAGGATTATAGCAGTGAAGGGATGTAAATTGCTGGTTCAGAGAGAAGGGAAGGATTTTGCCCCTACTCCAGATGGTAAAACTCCAGACAAAAAATGAAAATTAGGAAATTAACTTTTTAAATGCTCTTAATCTACACCCAGTGGATGTGGAGGCAACTTCACCGCCTGGTCCTGGGGAAGATGAGGAGCCACTGGATTTTCAGGGCAGGAATGGTTTGTCCCTTTAAGGCCCAACAATACACTCAGGTTTGGCCAGAGAACTTTCCATTTCAGAGCGGGACAGTATCCAAGGCAGAGTCCAGGCAGAGGTTTGAAAAAGGATGACTGCTGGTAGATATTACGGGGCTTATGGTCAACTTCTGGCTTGTTAAGTCAGAGGAACTCTTAATTTGTCACCTCGAGATGATCCACGGAGAGTGATTTGTTTCCATTTTTACCTCTAACTGTTGTACCTGGCTGACAGCTCTTCTGAAGAGAGAAGGCTGGTGGTAGACAAAACTATTGAGGAGGCATGGCACCTCCAATGAGAAATCTACAAGAAACCCTGATCCTATATAGGCTGTTCCATCAGTAGGTCCTGATCAGGACTCAAACAGTGCAGGACTAACTGTTGAATAATTAGAGGCAGTACATGCTGGCAGGCTTAGGAAAGGTGTTTCTAAGCTGAGAGGTTTGAACAAGATGCAGGAACTTTAACAGAAGGCAAATAGGGGCTCTTCAGAGTCTAGAAAGGATTTACCAGACATATTAGAGGTACACAGATGTTGATCCAGAAGATACAAGGAATATGGGGATAGTTAATATGACCCTTATAGAGCAAAGTGCCTTAATATTGATAGAAAGCTTAAAAATGAGAAGGGGCAATAGGAATAAGTCCAACTCAGTTGATAAATATTGCCTTTCAAATATGTAATGCGCCAGTCATGGTGGCATATGCTGGTAATCCCAGCACTTGGCAGGCAGAGGCAGGAGGATTGCTAAGAGTTTAAGGCTAGCCTGGAACACATAGTGAGCTCAAAGCCAGCCTGAACTATGTAGTGAGACCTTGTCCCAAAAAATAAGAAAGTAAGCAAGGGAAAAAAGATGAGATAGACTGGCTACAATCTTCAAGGCCTTTGACGGACACTATGAGGGAGAAAAAGTACATAGCTCAGGAAAATATAAAGGGAGAGAATCCCTAGGGAGTGACTAATGTACATACTACAAGGAAGAAGGGCACTGTCTGAAAAATATATGTCTAAAACTAAAGAAAGGACATAAGAAAGAAGGAAGAAGAAAGGCACACAGACAGATGATGAATAAAGAAGCCCAGGGTTTCAGAGCCAAGTGATTTCCCCACAAGAACTTCGCATGCAGCTAACAGTAGGGGAGTCTCTTGGTTACTTTCCTTGTTGCTGAAACAAAATGCCCAACATCCAAAGTTAAAGAAGGAAGGTTTATTTTGGCTCAAAGTTTGTAGAGGTTTCAGTCCATAATTGGCTGGCACCAAGGCAGGGTGGCATGGCAGAAGGGCATCACAGAGGAGAAACAGTTAATGGCATGGCAGAAGACAGAAGGCAACAAGCAACTAGCCTATTTCTACTTCTGTTTTTTATATCTTATTCCTAAGGGTGGGTAGCACGCACATCCTTAATCTTGGCACCCTTAACAGAAGCATTCACCACAAATTAATCCCAGTGTCACACACTCTAGATTCTGCCATCTCTGAAAAGCCCCACCTATGGCTGCATAAGGCTTTGGGGGGACATCTAGATAGATACAAATGGTAACATTCCACCCTTGGGCCTCCAAAGACTCATGCACATCCCTTTATGCAAAAGACATTTAGTCCATATCTAAGAGTTTCCAAAGTCCTAACAGTTTCTTTTTTTTTTTTTTTTTTTTTTTTTTTGTTTTTCTCTGGTACCGGGAACCGAACTCACGACCTTGCGCTTGCCAGGCAGGCGCTTTGCCGCTGAGCTAAATCCCCAGCCCAGTCCTAACAGTTTCAAGTCCAAAAGTTTCCAAGTCCAAAGTTTCCTCTGAGGTTTAAGTCAAAGTCTTACCTATGAGCCCCTGTATAAATGAAAAAAAGATTAAACACTTGCAGCATACAGTGGCACAAGGTAAACATTACCATTTGAAAAGTTAGAAATTGGGCTAGAAAGGAACAGGACCAAAGCAAGTCCAAAATCCAGTAGGGCAAACCTTGAATCCTATAGTTCCATGTCCAGATCTGAGACAATCTGGTAAGATGTGAACTCCAAAGGGCTTGGATGGCTCCACCACTCATGGCACTGCTGGTGGTTGTAGCTCCTACAGCTTCTCTCTTGGACCCACTCTGCTTCCTCCTTGCAGTTTTCCTCCGATGACCTATGTTCCTGGCTTCTCCAAATTTCTGGGGTCCCCATTGCACCTTTGCCTTCACACTCACAGCTTCACACACTGCCCTCTCAGGGGCACACTGTCTGGCCTCCCAGGCTTGCTTCTGAAATCTGGGTGGAAGCCTTTCTGACTCCACAATTCTTGCACTGTGCATGCACCTAAAACCAGCACCATGTGGATAATGTCAGTGTCTGCTGGCAGCTGGAGCAGTACCCACGTTTCCTTCTCTCTTGGCTGTAGAGGTTGAATGCCTGGGTCCCTGAGCACTCTGAACCCAATCCCAAAGACCAAATTCTCTAGGCCACCACCATTCTGGAACATGGTGCTCTGGTGTTCTCTCAAAGCAAAGTCTTTCACCTTTGCAACTCCAAGACTGTAAAGGCTGAAGTCTTAGCAGTTTTTGTGATGTCCTCAGGCCATCCTTGCTGTTGTCTTTTTTTCTGAAATATTTAGCTTTTTCTTGCTAGTCTTTTCAGTGACCAATTTCTCCTCTGTTCCATCTTTCCAGGCTGCAACTTTACTGGAGCTTCCTTTCTTGCCAAACTCATTTGAAATCATTCTTCAGGGCTCTTTGCTCTTGATTCTCAGTGTAAATCTGGCTATAAGTCTTCAACAGTAGTCATGCCATGGCCTCAACATTAGACTCCCTTGAAATTTCTTTTGCAAGATTAATTAGTCCTCTGCCCTTAATCTCAGTCTCAGGCAGAGTCTCTGGACACAAGCAAAATGCAGACAAACTTTCTTCTAAGGTGTGGTGGATTGACAACTGGTGGTCAACTTATAACACCCAGCTGAACTGAATAAGTACAGTGCTGGGTGTGGGAGGCCCACCTGGGGACTGTTGCCAGCAGCATAAGAGGCAGAACTGGAGAAAAAGAAGGAGGGCTGTTAGGAGAAGAGAGAGGATGTTGGGAGCTGGTAGAAGCTGTAAGGAGCTGTTGGTTCTTTTGGAGGAGCTCGTCATGCTGGCTTTCCTGATGAACTTGGCTACTTTCATCCTCCAAGGAGCTCAGGACCTTTTTGGCACTGAAAATAGCTTTGGTTCACTTTGGGGGAGCTCTGGTCCTCACTTTGAGTATCACTTCCTGGCCCCGGAGGGGAAGATGGTGCACTGCTGATCTCCTGGAGAAACTTGCTGCATTGGTTTCCCTGATGAGAACTCAGCTGTCTTCATCACTGGAGGAGCTCAGGACCTCACTGTTGCTCAGGATTGCTGTGGTACTTTTCAGGGGAGCTGTGGTTCTTATTTTGAGCATCACTTCCTGGCTCATGTAGATCCCTCAGCCTGCCAGCACAGATCCTTCATCCATTGGCACAGAATCTCTCATCAAATGCAGCTTAAGGCCTTCCAAGGCTACTTTTTCAATCCTCATCTCTGAACTTTTCCAAACCCTTCCCAGAATCCAGTCCCAAAGACTCCTGAACCACATGGCATAGTCATAGCAACAGCCCCACTTCTCTGGTACCAAAATATGTCTTGGTTGTTTTTCTCATTGCTGAGACAAAATACCCAACAACCAAAGTTAAAGGATCACAGTTTGTAGAGATTTCAGTTCATAATCAGCTGGCACCAAGGCAGAGTGGCAGAGTAGCACTGCATAGGAGAAATAGCTCATGGCAGGTGGAAGACAGAAGGCACCAGGCAACAAATGACAAGCCTATTTCTGTCTCTCATATCTTATCCAGGCTACCCCCTTAGGGTGGGTAGCACTCATATCCTTAATCCTAATGCTCTTAATGCTAGTGTTGCACCACAAATCAATTCCAGCATCACATATTCTAGATCCAGCCACCTCTGAAAGGTCCCACCAATGACTGCATGAAATTTTTGGGGGGAGTGTCTATATAAGCCATAATCGCATCAGATAATGTGCTTCTTGTTAGACACAGGTAGTACCTCAATACTAAAATGATTCAAGTAGCAAGTACAGAGGAAATGGAGGAAAGGCAGCAGAAACCCTTCTAATCTATGGAGTGTCACCTAGGGGACTTAAGATGGAAACATAGTTTTCTCTATATGCCAGAGCACCCAATCCTATTATTAGGATAAAATTTGTTATGGACATTAAATGCTCAAACTAGCTTCTCTTGAAAAAGGCAACACCTTCATTTTCAGGTCCCACTAAAGGAATACTTAAGGTAACAAATTCTGTACGAAGTTTCAATGCAGAACCAAATTTCTTAGGGCACCACTAAACAGGGTCCAGGGCCTGGACAACTGTCATCTCCTTAGATGTCAGCTCTGAAGTTGAAAAGGGAGATTGTGGGATCAGCATTAGGTGAGAAGACTCCCGTGTGGGGCTCTGCACCATGCACACATGCAAGGGAGCACTTACTCCAAGAAAATAATAGAACTCCTTTCTATAGATCTATGAGAAAGTGAGTAAAATCACATAGATGAGACCCTGGGTCAGTGCTGAATGCACAACGGGTAAAGGTTGAATTAAAAGAAGGAATTACTATATCTTGGAAGAAACAGTTTCCCCTCAAGAAAGAAGCTTTGGAAGGGATTCAACTGGTGTAAAAAAAAATTTCTTAAATATGGACTAATTCATCCTTATAGGCTGCCCTATAATACTTCAATTCTGCTGGTCAAAAAACCTCATACAAATGACTGTAGGTTTGTTTGTGATTTGAGAGCTATTGATGAAATTGTGCAAGATATTTGTCCTACAGTGCCAAATTCTTACACATTATTGACTGTCATATCTGGTAATTATGGGTGATTTTCAGTATTAGACCTTAAAGATGACTTATTTTGCATCCCATCTGAAGACAAAGGTTAGTTGTTATTTGCTTTTGAATGGCAAAACCTATATCAAAGGCCACTTGCTAATGTGGTTGAACTTTACTGCCACAGGGCTTTCAGAATTTCCTCACTATTTTTGGTGAGATTTTTAGCCAAAGACTTAAGAACTCTGCAATTGAAGGAGGTGGGTCTTTCTGCAATCCACTGATGATTTTCTAATAGCAAGTTGTGATTGTGAAAGATGTCTCTCTTACTGCTTAGTTACATGGCATACTGTGGACATAAAGTATCTTCCAGTAAAGCTCAGATTTGTAAGCAGGAAGTAAATTGCCTCAGGTTACAATTAAAACAAGGAAAACAGAACCTAATTCCCAATCAGAAACAAGCAATTGTCAACCTCAAATGAGTAGGAAAAAACTACAAAGGTTTCTTTTTTTTTTTTTTTTTTCCGTTTTTCTCCGGTACCGGGAACCGAACTCACAACCTTGCACTTGCCAGGCAGGCGCTTTTGCCACTGAGCTAAATCCCCAGCCCCAACAAAGGTTTCTAAGAATGAGACATTTCCATTGAATTTGGCTTCCTAATTTTGGTCTTATAATCAAGGGCTAGGTTCAGAGCCCTTATGTTAGAGTGCTGAATGCCAATAAGTATTTGACATTATTAAAGCAAAATTAACCTTAGTACCATCCCTAGGGTTTCCTAACTCTCCAAATCCCTTTAGGTTGTACTTCCATGAAAAGAAAGGCATGGATCTAGGTGTACTCCTTCAGGCTTTTGAGGAATACCCCCCAGCCTATAATTTATTTCTCCAAATAATTAGAATAGACAGCAAAGAATAGCCACCCTGCCTATTAGCAGTTACAGCCATCAGCTGATATTTTACAAGAAACAGAGAAGTTAATTTTATTATAGTGTTTGTACATCACCAAGTGTTGGTGTTATTAGAGCAAAAAGGCAGATGTTGGTGATGGTGGGGCAAATAAGCAAATATCAGGCTGTCTGACTAGGTAACCAAGATGTCCTCTTGTAAACTACCACAAGCCTACATCCAGCTACCTTGCTCCCAAGGATGCAAACTAGGTCACACTGGGAACATACCGCTTTGAAATTCCTGATGCAGTTTATTCCAGCAGGCCAGATCAGACTCTAGCAGCTCATGGTTTGGAATTATACACAAATAGCTTCATAGGAGAAGGAAGATGCCAAGCTGGGTATGCCATGTGACACAAGATAATCAAAATCTATGCTCTCCTGGCTGACACCTCCACAAAAAAGACTGGATTAACTCCACTAACCAGGACCTTATGGACATCACAAGGGAAACAAATAAACATGTCTACTGATTCCAAATATGCTTTTTAAATAATACATGCACATGGAACTATTTGGAAAGAAGTTTGTTAACTTTAGGAAATAAAGACATCAAATATCCAATGGAAATATTGGTTCTGCTTATGGCAGTTAGCTTACCAATGCAAGTAGCTATTATGAACTGCCCAGGGCACTGAAAGGCAAATTCTCACATGGCAAAAAGGAATCAGGAGGCTAAAAGTGCTGCAAAATGAGCTAGGGGTGGTCATGGGGGCTTTGATACTCATTTGGGCATATCTCAGTTCAAACCTCATTATACAGAACGAGTGAAGAAAGAGATCAGGAGTGGGGCTTCACTAATGTGGACTCTTTCTCACTGTAGAAACTTCATGACCAGAAGAGGATCTTGGTCCCTGGTGTATGCGGTTGCAAAGGATCTGTATCAAGGGACACATTATGGCTGGGATACACTGGCAGAGTTGATACAGCTCTACCTAAAAGGGCCACACCCTAAAAAAACTATGCAAAGAACTAAACAAAGATGCAAGCCACCTCAGAGAAGAGGACAGTCTAGAGGAGAGCCCCTTTAAAGCTGGCAAACTGACTTCACTTAGATGCCAAGAACAGGTACTTTTAAATTCTTATTAGTATTTGTGGGCACGTTGTCTCTGCAGGTTAGTGAACGCAAAAGATACCCTACTGGCACTGAGAAAATGACAGAAATAATTAAATTTCTATTTAAATTATTCCTAGCCAATGGACATTCAGCCAATGGACTGCTCCACCCCATACACCCTGAGGACAAGGTATTGCTGAAACCCCAGAAAATCCAAGGGCCCAATGAACACCTGGTTGAAGAGTAGAAAAGCTCATATAATGTACTGTTGAAAAGATACACCTCATTAACCCTCTCAGGAATAAAGCCTTGGAGCCATCATTCAAGAATCAAGAGAGCTGCACCAAAGGAAGATATCTCAGGCCACCCTTCACATCATGCTTCATCTTGCACAGCAGTGGAAGATCTTAGGCTCAAGCATCTAGCTTCCCTTTGCTTATGGCCAAGCTACCTTTGAGCAAGCTACCAAGCTACCTTGTGCTTGGGGTCAGACTTATCATTTCTCAGGTTTTTTTTTTTTTTGTATTTTTTTTTTGAGACAGGGTCTCAGTATGCAGTTCAGGCTGGCCTTGAGCTCACTTTGTAGCCCAGGCTGGTCTCAAACTCGCAAGGATCCTCCTGCCTCAGCCTCCCAAGTGCTGGGATTACAGGCATGCGCCACCATGCCCGGCTCATTTCTCAGGTTTTAAAGGTGATAAAGAAGAAAGAGGTATGGGATCAGGTATAGGGGCTTGAGTTTTCATCTTCTTGAAGCTGCTTCAGGCTGAGCAGAGGTGAAGCTGTGGGGCTGATAGGAGGAGCTGTTGAGAAACAGGGCAGTGTACACTTAAGTGAAACAAGGTATCTGTGTCAGGAAAAAGCTAGATAAGACATGAAAGACACAATGGGAAAATGTGGTTAGGAGGAGTATTGGAACAATTAGCCCAAGAAGGAGGATGAGCCAGAAGCTCCAGGAGGTGATTAGCCAGCTAGGAAGGGTCCAGAATGAGGCCTGATTTTGTAGGGTGGTGGTCTGATCATGCAGCCCTTTGATGCCATCTCATGTAAGTCCACACTTATGGTGGTGAAGAAACAGCAGGTCTCCTGAAGAAAGGCAAATAGCATACCTTTTTTTGAGATAAGAATGTGTAGGCTTCAGTAGTTTTGGAGCATAATAGTTGATTTGTCTTGCAGGTTAGTGATTCAAAAGATATTTGTTTTAAATAGTCTGGTACCTGCTGAGAGAGGGTAGAAAAATAGTAAAGGGAAGGGGGGTGTAATTAGGTAAGGCAGATGGCAGGGTGGTCAAGGTGGGGGTTAAGTTCTGTGAACAGCTTCAGCAGGAGATAACTTTGTGTGCAGCAGAGGAGCAAATTTTATTTGTTCTTGGTTGGGAACTGAGGTTATTTTCAGAACTGACCCTGGCATGGGCAGCCACTGGGCAAGGGCAGCCATTGGGCAAGGGGCTGGAGCTGAACCTGGCTAGTCCCCTTTCAGTTTTGGAGGACTATTGCTGCCACTACTCTCTGGGAGTTGATTTGGTCTTGAAGGTTGGAGAGTTTGATTTTTTTGAGACTTTTGGCTACCTACTTGGAGAGAGCTGAGAAACAGTGAAGAGACTCTTTGGCTGGCCTGTGCCAAGAGCAATGACTGTTTTGATTCCTGCAAGGAGAAGAATTAACTAAACAGCCCAAGGAAATCATTATTATAAGTAACATGCTGGCTGGATTAATAGAAAGTAGAAGCAGAATGTGAAGAAGCTGATCTGCATTGGAGTGAACTTGGAATGAAGGAGCCCTGGAGACAGAGATGGGTGTGTATTTCTTGGAGTATTGAAGTTACTGAAGGTTGGGAGTGGGGGAGTTAGACAGTTACTGAGGTTAGGGGAAAGGATGTTAATTTTCATAAAAGGGAAAGGGTAAAGCCAGAGAGTTTAGGGAGTGAGAGCCATAAGAATGACCAGTAGCTTTTGGGGAGAAATCTGTGGGGATTCAGAGGAAGAGGAAAATGTGCTGAGTGCTGTGCAGAGGAGAGGGAGCCCTGCTCAACTCAGAGGCCAGGATTCAGAGGAAGGCCAGGATTCGGAGGAAGAGGAAGGCCAGGATTCGGAGGAAGAGGAAGGCCAGGATTCGGAGGAAGGATTCGGTGGGTCTTAGGATCTGGTGGTCTGTTTTTGCCAGGGAGCTTCAGCCTGTAGAGTGGTGCCCAATGTCTGGGCTGAGTCTGCACTGCTGGATGGGCCCTGATATAGTTCATTCAGCATGGTGTTGAGACAGGAGATTAGGATATGGCAGACTGGATGGTGAAGTGAGCATGACCTGAAGTGAGCAAAGTCCCAGAACACATGTGAGGAACAGTTCCCAAAGTGTTGCATGTGGAACCAGTCAGAGACTGCTGTCTTCAGTTCTTCTCATGAGAACTCAAGCAAGTTTTCGATAGGATGGCTAGACCTGATGTTAGCCTTAGGAATGGCAGATACAAAATGACAGTCACCACTGAACCCTCCACTACTGTGTCTCTATTTTACAATAGTCCATTCTCATGCTGTACAGTGTACTTTTGTCCTACTTTTACTTGACCCAATTTCACTCTGCAGAGCATGTTTCTTTTCCTACCTTTAATAAATATAAAACTTCACATTTTGTGCTTGTCATGTCCATTTCTTTCTTCAAGACAAGAAGAACTTAGAAACTACCTCTAGGAGATTCCAGGACTCTAGTACCCCCAAAACCCAATAACATATTTGGCAGGTCAGTCAGGAGATAAGGCCCTTTTGGGCATTTTGTTTGTTTCTCTCTCTTTGTAGAATTGATGGCTGAGAAGGGTTTTTTCTTTTTCCCTCTCTGCCTTAGGCTGGGAATTTAGGAAGATTTCTCCTGGTGACAGGAAGAGTCCCACCATATGGGAGGGTGAAAGAGAAACATATGGTCTTTATGTTTCTTTCCCAGTGAGAAAGAGGCTCACAGGTCCACTTCAAGTTTACCTCCCCTTTTCTCTCTTCTCTTTCCCATTTTCATTCAGTCATTGTGGGTACAAGTCAGTTAGGAGCTGTCAGACAGGCTCTTATTAACTCAATCACAGAACAGATCATTCAGGTTCAATGAGTGCAACTTAGAGTTTAGTATGCCTTTTTGTCCTTATATTTCTCTTCTTTATAATACTTTGCTCAGCTTTCATATTCTCTTGGGAAAATTAGCTGTTTGTAAATTGGTGTGCTTTATTAGCTGACCCCTTTTTGTGTTCAATGTCTCATTGATGCTTTTCCTCTATATGGCCTTTTGTCTCTGGGTATCATTAGTGAGTTGCTTTCTTAAGGCCTTCTTTCACTCTAGTCCATCTTTCCACTATAATTGGCAGCCATTTTGGTTCATCCTGTAGGTCAGATGCATGGATTTTGCCATGGCTGTCAGCCACTTTAATTGATCACAAGGGTTGAGTAACTTAGAAATGTGCTCCTGGTGGCCTGAGCAGAATAAAAGAAGCTAGTAAAGCTCAACTCAAGTGGTTATGTATATGCCAAAGTAGAGCCATCTGTGTACTCAGAACTTTTTTTTTAAAGGCTTAAAAAAAAAAGAGGTTTCTGTCTCTACCACCTTAAACAAAGTACCAAAGTTTTATTATCATGGTAAATGCAAGGAATATTGTTTCCCAGGTGGCTAAGGGAGCCCCTGGGAAGGCTCCACTTTCTTTCTAGGGAGTCAGTGGATCACAGTCTAAGTGAGACCCCTAGGGAAGGCGTTATCCACCATAATCTCTTAATAGTGTTCTGTTTCTCAAGTGGCTAAAGGAGACCCTGGGCAGGCTCCACCTTGATCTAAGGGAGCCTCTCAAGTGGGCTCTGCCCTGATCTCTTAAGAGTTTACTGTTTCTAAGGGAGCCTCAGAGAGGGCTTCACCCTGATCTCCTGGGCTCAAATGGGTAAGGGAACCTTCCTAAGGGGCTCCACCTTGATCTCTTAGGAGCTTAGTGTTTCTCAGGTGACTAAGGGAATCCCTGGTCTAGGGGAACCACCTTGATTTCTTGGGAATTTCTAGGCAAGGCCCTGGATGGGTTGCATTCTTCTTCCTAAGGAGTCAGTGGGCAAATGTATCATGGGCATCCTACAGATCCCAGCCATCTCACCACTAGGCTGTGTCCTGGTTACTTTTGTCTCATTGCTAAGATAAAATAGCCAACACCCAAAGTTAAGGAAGGAAAGATTTATTTAGCTTACAGTTTGTAAAGGTTTCAGTCCATAACCAGCTGGCTCCAGCGCAGAGTGGCATGGCAGAAGAGCAATAGTTCATGGTGGTGGAAGATACCAAAAGCAATAAGAGCAAAAAGGGGAGGACAAACCTCTTTTCCTTGCTTATATTGCATTCAATCTACCCACCCTAGGGCAGGTATAGCACTCTCACCCCCAATCCCAGCACTAGACAATGAACCAGTCACAAACTCTAGACTCAGCCACCTCCAAAAAGCATGGCCCCCCATGACGGCATGAGGCTTTGGGAGGACATCCAGACACAAACCAAAACAGGCTACATACTTAAAAATTGGGAACTATTTGACCCTTACGGTAGCTAGTTGGAGCTCCAAGGACTCCACCTCTGTCTTTACTGTTTGGGTCCTTTATCAAATGGGAAATAGCAAGAGATAGATGCAGCATGGCCATCAAAATTACAATACTATTCTTCAGTTAAATCTTTTTTTATTTTTATTTTTTACAAAAGACAAGGAAAATAAACATGAAGTCCCTTATGTTCAAGCTTTTATGGCTGTTTATCTCTGGAAATGTCCAAGGACTATGGTATTTACAGAGGCTTCCAAAGGAAAAAAATTGACATTGTTGATGATTCGGTCCTCAGATACTAGAGTGGGGATTTAGCTCAGCAGCACATTGCCTGCCTGGCAAGCACGAGTTCGTGAGTTTAATTCCCGGTACCAGAAAAAAGTCAAAAAGGAAAAGAATAAAAATAAAAATAAATATATGAGCCTTTCCCAGCAATTTCTACCAGAGGTTAGTGCCCCAGAGAAACTCAGAATTTTCAAATATGATCCAATTGCGTTTTCTGTGTTCAACAATCAGGATCTAGAGGAGAATGAAAAAAGGGCTGAGAAAAAAGATAGACCGAAATAATGGCTGTTGCAACTGGCAACCCTTTAACCATACCCAAGTTGTTCAAGGGAAAACCTAGAGCCAATCAAGGCCAGCAAGAAGATGACATAGGGCATACAACTGTACCAAGCCACTGCCTGGACCCTACTCTGTGTGTCAGGCAGCTGATGTGCCTGACTTGTGATACTGGAGGATTAATGTTCCCACTCTTAGAGAGGGGCTAGGCCAGCCAAAGCTCTCACTTCCCACTGTGACAGAGGAATGAAAAGGCCTGGGGCAATCTGCATGCTCTCTGCATGGACATCTCTGTCTCTTCCAAGGAATACTGGGTGACCCTGAATATCATGGGTAAGAAATTTTAATTCCTTTGGGTTCTGTTTTAGCTTCCTTCTCTAAAAGAAAACCCCCAAAACAAATCCTCCTCCATATCTATACCCAAAACTGAGGTCAAGGGGAGTCCTAATGAGAGCTTCTCTACTCTTGCTCTG